CCTAAGGATATGCTTACCGTCGTAGAAATTGACGATGGAAACCATGGATTAACATTCCATGAAAACGAGTGGTGGCGCAGAGGACTGTGCTTTGGCGTTGCACTTTCCCAGCGTGGATTCAAATTCCGGCGAGGGACAAATTTTTTACCGATTGGTCATTCTCATAAGCAAGGAATTCGTTCTTGTGGGTGGTACTTCGGTGAACTGAGCTGAAAAAAAGAGTAGCGAGTCGTTTGCCGGTGAAGATTGCAATTGGTGACTGTTCGGATACGATTATGTCAGAGCCAGCGAGATTCGTGATCATGCTGTTTGACAGAACATACAACTTTGTCTATTAGCTAATTAACTGTAATTCCCAAATTAAAATGCTTTGATGCTTACCGTATTTACTGCGCACGCAGTAAGGAATATTACAATAAAGCATTGTCATCAATAGCTGATACTTTGTATCAGCACCTTTGCGTCAAGACATTGCTGCCTTTGGTGAAGACTGCTCCATGATCAGGGATCATGTTTGACGACGCCGTTTTGCCCATATATTCCATGGACTAACTCTGAATTGACAACGAGCGTTGAATGAAGTCAGTTGCAAATGTATATCCCGTTGCGAGGGCACCACGCATAGGAACCCCTGTTACAAAATATATGACGCCAAAGTCACTAAGTGCGTAATTTACTAATTTAGAATATACTAGAAACCAAGGTTGATGAAAACAGGATTTTGACAATCAAAAGAAAAACAGATATCCTCCGTTGTTGATCCTAAGCCAGGGCGAGAAAAGAGAGAGTTTGACACTGTGGCGAGAGTTAGACACTTGCCCTCATGGTATTGCCGTCATCGAACACTGTGCCGGTTCGGTCGTCGCTCAAGTAACAAATAACCGCGAAACATCAGATCCTGCTCACCGCCTTCTGTCAGACGGGTTCGTAGCAACACAACAACGGCAACCGAAGGGAGACGATCTGACGATGAAGATGTCAATCAGCAACAGAGGAAGCAGAGAGCGTTATGCTATTATATTGGGCTCCACGTAAACGACGCATGGGAGCCGATAATCGGAAATTGGAACATATTCTCACTCCGATGAAACCAGCAGGAGCTAGTTGATACGACCAGCAAGATACTGACTCAATATAATTGAATTCTCGTCAGCGAAGCGCCAAGACTCTGGAATATTGAGCTCCTGCGCGAGGAAGCTGTTCTACTAAGGTGTCAATACCACGATGCGCGCTCGGGCCGATGCTTAATGCTGTCGTATAACCCAACCTTACTTGCAGAGCCACTGAACTGAACCCTGTCGGCGGAAGAGTGACAATCCTCTGACTGAAGCTACAATAGACAAATGCTTGGGGCTTGTTACAGGTCCATGCGTCCAATTTGAGGAAGGATATGAGTCCTTCCTTGAGAAAATGAAATCCGCTCTGTGCAAACTGCAGCCTACGGAATGCATCATCCTAGTGGGCGATTTCAATGTGAATGATTGGGCAGACAATGAAAATTAAAAACGCGTGATTGTAAATGATGGAATTAGTCACCTCAACGATAACGGTATGATGCTGTTGTGGTTTTGTGTAAACAACTGACTGTCTATCATGAACACCTTCGACCATCGAAGCGTGGATCATTATATTTGGTACAGGGAAACTTGTGCACAGAAGTCGGGGATCGATTTGATGACTGCATGGTCTGTCTTGCGACACTGTTTGATGGATGTTTGCCGTCAGAGAGGTGCAGAGCTATCAACCGATCATCACCTTCTTGTTGGCACGCTTCGCTGTAAGAAATGGAGTACCACACGAAGATCTGGTGGCACAAGCAACCGGAGAATCAAATGGGAAACACTACCTTCAGTGGAGACGAGAGCGAAATTTACAAACAACATCGCACGAAGGTTTGAACACGACCCAGTGATGACCGCAGATATGGAAACCGAGCGAAAGCTGTTTAAATGCGGCTTACCGCCAAATAGTGCGGTCTCGAAAGGCTCGGCCAGCCTCTTAAAGGTCAGATACTAATTTTAAGGTGGACAAGAGAGGTGCAACTTCAAAGAGCTTTCAACTAAGATGAGCGTGAAAGAAGCGGCGAAAGCCACAGCTGATTCCTGGGAAAAATTCGGTCAAGTTTTGGAGTCGCATTTCTAGACGGCATCAAAGTATTCTCGCAGATCATCCGCCATTTCTGAGGTGAAAAGAAGGTCATTCTACGGACCCTGAAGGACAAGTCTGGACACTTTCTTATCGGGGATGAAAACAGCGATGGAGGGAATATTTTGAGGAGCTTCTTAACCCTGAACAACCTTAGGAAGACTTGCCTGAAGAGCAGCAGGGAACGGATATTAGTATTTCTGAGATGAAATTACAGAAGCTGCGGAAAGCTTGAAATGTGAAAATCTGCTAGAATCGATGAAATCTGCCCTGGACTGCTAAAAACACAAGGGAAACATGGCATGTATATTTCAAACTTCAACCGCTACGGGGAAGCCCCAGCGTACTATAGAATGCGGATCATAAGAATCCTGTTCAAGAAAGAAAACCACAGGGAATGCTCCAATTATCAGAGTATTGTATTGCTGAACTTCCTCGATAAAGTCTACGCAAAAGTGCTAGAGAAAAGGTGTCACGGAATAACTGACTCCAGTATACGAGAAGTGCCGTGTGGCTTCCTGCCTGGCTGATGCAAATTTCACCATCTATTCTCCCTACGCCAGACTGTTGAGAGATCTTGGGAGTTCGTTCCTCCGGTTCATATGTGTCTTGTGGACTTGGAGAAATCCTCTGACCGGAACCCCTGCAACAATGTATGGGAATGCCTGCGAACAAATAGGATGGGGTGGCTAGTTGCTACGGGCCATCCAATCACTAAATACTAAGAGCAGATGCTGCGTCAGAGTAAATGATTTTAAATTTCAGCTTTGGCACTGCTCTCTGCCAAGGCTGCTTTCTCTTCCCCTGCTGTAAGTGTTGTACAGGAATAAAATAGACAGGAGCAGTCAGGTCGATGAGGGATATCAGCGCAGCAGATGTCGATACGAAAGGGTTGCTCTTTGCAGGCGATATTGTTTCACTGGTATCTTCCAACACTGATCTCAGGCGCTCTCTGGAAAGATTCGCCACTGAGTGCGACGTGGCCGGTGTGCCTGTGAAAGCTTCTACAACGAAAAGGCATTGTGCTTTCTCGTTCTCATGCCCGTACTCTCTTCAGATGTACTGAAAAGCAACAGAGCAAGTTGAGAAGTTCAAGTACCTCGGGGTCGTATTTACTGCCGGTGGAAATTGGGAAGACGACCTCGACCACTGGATTGGAATAGCCATCATCGTTAAACGTAAGCCATCTCGAACCGTTGTGATGAAAGTAGTCTGAAGATTTTGCTGTTGGTGTTCAAGTTGATCTTCAACCCCATGCTTACCTACGGTCATCAGTCGCGGATCATGACTGAAAAACTTC